AGAAAAAGAGTCAGTTCTAGCTGCCTGGGTGTCCCCCAGTGTCACTCCCCTTTGCCAGCAGCCCTCCATATCTGCAGCGAGTTCATCTACCTGATACTGATTGGAGCCCGTGAGCCCTCAGGTAGGGAATGGGAGGAGCATCACAGTGGCATCTTTGGCAGATTGAATGCCGTGATGCTGCAGCTGGCACTTTGCAGTGTGACAGCCCCACTTGCCAGTGCTGGCCATCCTCCCCTCCCCGGGTGTCACCGTGACTCCACCTGTGACTCATCTCCCAGGGGAACAAAGCCGATGCGTGGGGAAGGCATCCAGCCAGGGAGGGAAAGCAGGGTGGAAGGGGACACTGTGGGGCACACAGCGTGGAGGGAAGCTCAGAGGGTGGGTAGAGGTGCCTGAAGTTACACTCTCCATTCCTGCGGCCACGACAAGGAACAAACCCAGTGAAAGGAGGACACAGAAAGTGTCACCTCCAGCTCCCAACCCTGAGGAAACCCTCCCTTGGGGAAACACAAGGTGACAATGCATTCAAATGGAGTCCCTCTGTCAAAAAGATGGAAGTTCCCAGGGGCAACCCCAGCTTTTGAACTGGTTTAGCTAGTGACCAACTGAGAGCAGAGGGTCATTTGCAAGAGAAGGTAAGGGTATGGAAGCAGGGCTCTCCTGGCAAAAGCCGGTGGAAGCAGAGGCGGCGGCAGGCTGCTGCTTTGCTGGGCTCCCCACCCTTCTCCTCCTGTCCAAAACACACCATAACTGCACACACCCTGCGCAAGGAACATCAGCCACTGGCACCCTGCGCTGGAAGGATCCTGTAGTAGGGCCGAGACAGGTGAATGGGCTGTCTGACATATCCAATGCACAGTGAGACAGACAAACAGACAGACTCCCTCAGGGAACCTGGGGCTGGCTGGTACCCAGGTTCTGCTTGCCCCAGGAAGCCCCTCAGCCCCCAACACCCAAGGGTGCCAGCTGAGCAGCCAGAAGGGAGGGACGGGCACAAGTGGGCTGTGTGGGAGGGATGGAGGGGTATGGTGAGTTCCTGGCAGAGGGCTCAGCCCAGCACTGTGGGGGTCCAGCCATGCACCCGCCCACGGCACAGCCTGTGCTGACACAGGACCTGACTCTCTGGTGGCTCCTTGCCCTTGGCACCAGGCTAGCTGTGGGCTTCCCCCTCCCCTGAAGACGATGCTGGCCTCCCGTCCCAGAGCAAAGAGCAGCCTTACCTCCATCTGACACAGCCGGGCCCTGCGGGGGTGGAGAGAAGAGAGGTCAGAGGGGTCACAACGGCGTCTGCCAGCCCGATGGAGCAGTATCAGGGCAGGCAGCAGCGTCAGGGCAAGGCCAGCCTGAACCCAGGAGCAAGGGACACGGGCTGCTGGCAGACACTGCTCTGGTGTTAGCTGCAACTGGGACGGCTGCCCCATGGCAGAGGCAGGACATGGGGCTCCCAACCCAGGGGCAGTGAGTAGAGGTGGGAAGTTACAAGGGGTGTGCACCTCTTCTCCCACCTCCTATGCATCTACTGCCCTGGGGCCAGGCCATCACTTGGGAAAGGGTAGATGCTATCCGATATAACCCTGCCAACACTGCCCTGGGAGGAGAGAAGCAGCCTCCCCGGCACAGGAAGGGGAGGGGAGGAGGGGAGGGAAGGAACTACAACCACAGCCCTAGACAGGCAAACTGCCTGCTCCCTCCTTCCTTGGGGCCTGGGGCTACTGCAGGGCAGATGCCCCAAAACGGGGACTGTGTGCTGCCAGCCCAGGACACAGCAGGACCCTGTGGCATCGCCTGGGCCACCCCAGATACCATCTGCGGGGGTGTGGTATCCCAGGACCCACAGCAAGCAGGGAGATGGGGAGAGCCTCTGCAGTCAAAGCCCAGTCAAGCACACCCTGCACGGTGCTGCCTCTCATCGCTCAACTGGGGCCACACTGAACTGGTGCCCTTGACCTGGCTGTCCTGTGCCCCCCACCCTGCCAGCCCCACACACCCCAGCCTGCCCTGCACACCCCCTGCCTGTCCCCATCCCAGCCCAATTATCCCACCCCTACCTGTCCCTGCTACTCCACCTCACACGCCGCTGCCATGCCCCTTACCCCAGCACCACACATCCCAGCCCCGCCTGCCCATTACCTCAGCCCCATATACCCCTATCTTGCCAGGTCCTTGCTCTTTCCCATCCATACCCACATAGCTCTACCCTGCCTGTGCCACCCAGCCCCACACACACCAGCGCTGCTGACTCCAGTCACCCCATCCCCATATGTCACTGCTCGCCCATTACCCCAGTGCCATACATCCCCACTCACATCGCTGTCTCAGCCTCCTAAACCCCTGCCTGCTCGTTACCGCAGCCCCCTATATCCCCGCCTGCCTCCTACCCAGCCCCATATACTGCTGCCTGCCCTAATACCCCTCCACATCCCTGCCTGCTTTGGATACCCAAGCCCCATACCGCCCTGCCTGCCCAGTACCCAGCCCCGCAGCCCCCGCCCGCCTGTTATCCACCCCACACCCCTCTGCCCGCCTGCTGCCCGGCCCCGTACATCCCTCCGCCTGCACGGTACGCAGCCCCACACCCCTCGCCTGCCCGTTATCTGCCCCACGCCCTCCCGCTTGCCCACTACCCGGCCCCATACATCCCTCTGCCCGCCCGTTATCCACTCCGCACCGCCCTGCCCGCCCGGTACCCAAGCCCCACGCCGCTCCGCCGGGCGGGGCAGCCCCGGGGGATGGAGGAGACCGGCGCCCCGGGCCGGGCCGGGCCGGGACTCACCATGCGGCCGTTGTGGACCAGCAGCAGCTTGGCCTTGCCCTGCATGCCTGGCACCGCCCGGCCGAGCGCGCTACCGGC